GGAGCAGTAGTCTGAAAAACAAAAAAAACGTTGATTGGAACAAGAACACATCTGAAGCATGAAGTGCTGAAATCCTGCGCGTCCCCCCCAAAAAAACATCACACGCGAGAGAAGCGGCGCGCCGCCCGCACGGCACCTGGGGAGACAGGGGAAAAGCACTCTCAGATTCAACAGCTGTGGAGGGGGTCCTCCTCCTCCTCCTCCTCCTCCTCCTCCTCCTCCTCCTCCTCCGCCTCCGCCTCCGCCTCCGCCTCCGCCTCCGCATCCGCCTCCGCCACCTCCTCCTCCACCTCCTCCTCCTCCTCCTGGAGGGAAGGGGGGAGGGAGGAGAGGGGGGACCTGGGCTCGCCCATCGTGCGCTCAGCAATGGGGAAACCACGAGGCACCGACGCCAGGGCTCCCCAGACCTCTCCCAGGGCGCGCTCTGACCAGGACCTCGAGGCGCATCCCGCGGTGGCGACGCGGGCCTCCCAGAGGAGGCCGAAAGAGGGGAGAACGAGGAAAGGGCAGAGGCATGAGTAGCTTTTCCTTCTCTGAGAGGTATGGACCTCTCCCAGAGCGCGTTCTGGCCGGAAGCCTCGAGGCGACTCCAGCGGTGGCGACGAGGGCCTCCCAGGAGGCCGAAGAAAAGGAAAACGGGCGAAGGGCAGCGGTATGGGTATCTCTTCCTCCTCGGACAGAAGGACCGTAGCCGCCGTCGTCGCCGGCGTGGTCGGCGTCAGTCGTCGGTCGTCAACCTCGGTCGCCGAAGTCGGGCGCCCTCCCCCCCTCTCCAGAGGGGCGGGAGCCGCCCCCCGGTCCACGCATGCTTCTGCTCCAGGAGGGGGGGGGAGGCGAGGGGGAGGAGGGGGGAGAGGGCGAGTGGAGGGAGGGGGAGAGGGCGAGGGGAGGGCGAAGCGAGAGTGCAGGGAAGGGAGGGGGGGGAAGGCAAAAGTAGCAGCACCCGGGCCATGTCTGACATCTCATCCCTCCCTCCCATCCCTCACCACTGCGCGGATGTTGTCTCTATCCGCGGCCGCGCGTCATAGCCGACCTGAAACTCCAAAACAAAACCCATCGCTTTATGCGCAATCAGACAAGGTGAGGTACAACAGATGCCATTCACGCAGTACGCTGTCATATCGATCAAGCGCACGCTAGGAAAGATGGTGTGACTACATTTGTTGCCCTGGACTGGGAACAAAAATCATCTGATTCCATAAGCTTCGAAGCATTTTTGGCAGGTCTGCGCCGCTTCGGGGTACTCTGAACATGTTCACGCTGATTGGGAATATTTACGAGGCCAGGCGATTTTGCGTAGCCGACGGGGCGATCAAATCTTCTGAAATCAAGCAAATGTGTGGAATCTCACAGGGGTGTATGGTGTCGTCAGTTCTTTTCGTCATGATGATGACTGTGGTATTGCGGGACGCCGTGAACGGCCTGAGCGACAATGACAAATTCGGTATGGCTTCTGGGAATATGTCGGTGCTGCTGTATGACGACGACGCGCTGCTTATCGGAACAAACCAAGCCAGCTTACAGCACCTCTTAGACAGCATCGTTTTGGCGGGGGCGCAAGCTGGAATGGAGCTGCACTGAGACAATTTCCAGATGATCCAGATGAATAGCGACGTGACGCTGAGAGCGCGGGCTGGACAATTCATTGCCAAGCATGACATATCCGGGTGCGACTTTATACACTAGTGGACAGGTGGTACCGAGCTAAACGAAAGAATAGGGGCAGCTTGGGCCGAATTCTCCAAATATGACAGAGCATTGAAACATACTGCTTTGAGCAAGCGGTGAAGACTGGATCTATTCCAAGCACTGGTAACATCCAAAATCATGTAGACGCTGATCACGGCGTGGTTAAATAAAGCAGAAAGGAGAAGGCTGGATGGATTTCAAGCTCGACGCCGGCGAAGAATACTACACATATCTCCCGCCTTTCTCACGCGAGTCCCCAAATAGTAAGGTTCTGGAAGAAGCTGGAGGCAAGCAGAGCAGCGCGCAACTTCTTCAACCATCGATATTACTATTTGGCAAACGTGGCCGGGCTCCAGATATAGACTTTCTTACAAATCACTTTTCAGCCTGGCACCATCCTTTCAGCCGTGGATGCGTATCAAACGAGGAGAGGCTGACCCAAGCACGAATGGGCGAAATGTCTGCACAAGGTTATAGTTGATCATCTCGGCCTGGAACATACTTGGCCGCAGCGCCTGCAGGACCCCATCGCGTGGCGAAAGATTGCTGAACGTATTGTGAATATGATGATGAACTCGATTGAGAGTAGCTTCTGTCGCATTTGTTGTTACATACGTTGCATGTGATGCCCAATGTCTTGACATCCTCTGCAGCCTTCGGCTGGATACGCTTCAGGCGAAATACGTATCATTCGCCAGTTGGTTCCTCTCCTTCCTCCGCCTCCTCCTCCTGCCGCGCAAAATACAAATTATGCGACCGACGTCGTGCAGCCGCTCCCGCAAAAACGGTGAGAACAGGATGGAACTGCCTTCTTTCGCCTACGCGCTCCGGCGTCTGGCATGAGTGAGTGAGTGAGTGAGGACAAGGCGAGCTGCGAACATAGGAGGAGGAGGAAGAGGAGGAGGAGGAGGAGGAGGTGGCGGGCGAGCAGGAGGAGAAGCAGGGAAAGGGATGAGGATGAGTAAGGAGGAGGACGAGGGCGAACAGCAGCAGCAGGAACTGGAGTGGAAGGGGTGGGTGGAGCAGGAGGAAACGAGGGGGGCGACAACGATGAGAAACGCCTCGGATTCAGAAAAGTGACCCGCGCCTGGGCGAGAGCGCCAGTCTGCGCGATGGGATCACAGCGCCGACCCGAAAATGAGGACCACGCTGCAGCGGGAACACCATTGTGAAACACCGGAAACAATCGGGCTGTTAAAGAGTACATCGGATATATCAACTGTTGACATCATGTGTGAGAGTTGTTTCGAAAAATATGCATAACAAGACAAACATTAAAACCGCAACAATAAAACAAGAAAGGAGAGGGCGGGACACCTTCCGCACAGAGTCAAGAAAGAGAGAAGAGTGGCACTCACAGTGTGCAGCTGCGGAGGAGGGAGGGATGGAGGTAGGGGCAGGGGAGGGAGGGGGGGAGGCGAGGGGGAAAGGGAGGGAGGGAGGGGGCAGGCCGGGAGGGGAGGGAGGGTCATGTGAGGGAAGGGGGATGCGAGTGGGAAGGTCAGGGATGCAGGGGAGGGGGCAGGCAGGGAGGGAGGGAAGGACAGGGGAGGGGGGAGGGGAGGGGGGGAGGCGAGGGGGAAGGGAGGGAGGGAGGCGGGCGCGGGGGCGGGTGCCTGGCGCCGCCGAGGTCGCTGCCACCGCCGCCGCCGTCGCGGCCGACGTCGGTCGATGCCGCCGGCAGTCGTCCGCCGTCGTCGCCGCCGCCGGGGCCGGTCGTCGGTCGTCGGTCGTCGGTCGTCGGGCGCGTCCCCACCGGGGGCAGGGCTCGCCCCCAATGTCCGCTCCTGCTCCTACTCCGGGGAGGGGGGGGGGAAGGGGGGAGGGGGGGAGGAGGGAGGAGGGGGGACGACGAGAAGGAGGAGGAGGGGAGGAGGAGGAGGGAGGAAGGGGGGGAGGAGGGAGGAGGGAGGAGGGGGGGGACGACGAGAATGAGGAGGAGCTCAGCAACGGCTGGAGAGGTGCCACCACGCTCACAGGCACACGAGCTGAGCTCCAAGCGAGGGCAGGGGTCCAGGTCTTCGGGGGGCGGCACGGCCTGCCGACGGCACTCCTGCGCCCGTGCCACGAGAGACTCAGCCTCTCCTCGAGAGCTGAACCCAAACAGTGCAAGGCCACGCGAGGAGGAGGAGGAGGAGGAGGAGGAGGAGGAGGAGGAGGAGGAGGAGGAGGAGGAGGAGGAGGAGGAGGAGGAGGCGGGGGGGGAGGAGGAGGAGGAGGAGGAGGAGGAGGAGGAGGAGGAGGAGGAGGAGGAGGAGGAGGAGGAGGAGGAGGAGGAGGAGGAGGAGGAGGAGGAGGAGGAGGAGGAGGAGGAGGAGGAGGAGGAGGAGGAGGAGGCGGAGGAGGAGGAGGAGGAGGAGGAGGAGGAGGAGGAGGAGGAGGAGGAGGAGGAGGAGGAGGAGGGGAGGAGGAGGAGGAGGAGGAGGAGGAGGAGGAGGAGGAGGAGGAGGAGGAGGAGGAGAGGAGGAGGAGGAGGAGGAGGAGGAGGAGGAGGAGGAGGAGGGAGGAGGAGGGAGGAGGGAGGAGGGAGAAGGGAGAAGGAGGAGGAGGAGGAGGAGGAGGAGGAGGAGGAGGGAGGAAGCAGGAAGATGAGACAAATTGTGCACCGAAGTCGGAGGATGGAGCTGTGTTGTCGTCCGTTTCCAGCTCCTGCTCCGGGGAGCGGGGGAGGGGAGGAGAAGGAGGAGGAGGAGGATTAGGAGGAGGAGGAGGAGGGAGGAGCGCGGGAGAGAAAGAGGTGAGGACCCCCTCGCCTGAAGGGTGCGTCCCGAGGGGGGAATTTCCCTCCTCCCTCCTCCTCTCTCTTGGTTTATCATCATTATCATTCTTTACATCCTCCTCCCAATCCTCCTTATCCTCCTCTTCCTCACCATCATCCAACTCAACTTGACCATTACCCTCTCCCTTCCACCATCGCCTGTCCGTCAACCCGAACAGGAAGCAGTGGCAAGACGGTGTCCCAAAGTTGCGGAAGCGACAACGCGCGCATGGAATCAGTCGAAATTCCAGCGAAGCACCGCCAGCGGCCAACCCTGACATGGAGAGCTTGGATCCGAAATGAGTATTCAAGCAATGCCGCGTGCTGCGATGGTAACTCGTAGGAACTTAGCAGCCCTGATAGAAACATTGGGTACAACCGATGTGCCTGAAACAACACTGACCGATACTCTTGCAGACAGAGATGGAGATCACGTAACGTTCGCGGCCGCAGTGATGGCAAAATGTGTGGTTGCAACGACGACGACAATGTGATCCTTTTCGGGTTCTCCAGCGATCCAGCAAAGTTTGTAACCAATAGTTTTATTCAAGCTCTACCTGCCCCTTCCCCAATCAGCTTCCCCATCTCCCGTGCGATGAGGAACGGACATCAAGGAAGATGTGGGACGGCCGCGTTCCCTCCTATGCATCACTACAAGATACGAATCCTACTCTCCAACCTCCTCTGACGTTGTGTCAATTTGCTAGAGCCTTTCCCGCGAACTGCTTTCCACGGACCGGACTTCAATGCTGGGCTTTGACATATTGCCCCGTCCCCTATTGAACACTGCATGGGCAAGTCTATGATTGCGGCCCGACCTGACACCCGACTCGACGAGTGCAAAAGGATTCAGCGCAGTGAGGAAGAATGGGTAGGATGTCAGATGTGGCGCGAATGCAGCTAGCTTTACGTCGGGCGTCCTCCTACAGGCGGCTTTTGTATGAAAAATACAGAATAGTCGTAAACAATCAGCAATATTCAAAAATAGTCAGAACATCGTCCCGAGACTACTTTTGGACTATTTTTTGACACTCCTCCTGCAGAGGAACACGCCCGACTTAAAGCTAGCTTGTCACCAACCTTTCTCCACTCTCCCTCCACATTCCGCTGTAGGAGGAGACGCCACGAGCACTGCTGGTTCATTCTGCAACACGCCCGCTGACTGCCACTGCCACTCGACAAGAACAACAGCAGCAGCAGCAACAACAACAACCACCACCACCACAACAACAATAATTTTAAGACCGTTCGCCCTTATATGCTCGAGTGTCCAATAACGCGTATTTCCCAAACCGCCGATACCCGCCATCTTCGTTTTCGATCGAACCCCTTTTGGGGGGTATACCTTTCTTCCCTGCAGGCCGGGCCCCGGCAAGCGGCGGGGCGGCCGCGGACCGTCGGCCTGGCCAGCGGCAACGCTGATCGGCGGGGCGGCCGCGGACCGTCGACCCGACCCCAAGAGGGACGGACAGGGGACCGACCACGACGACGACGACGACGACGACGACGACGACGACGACGTCGAAGACGACGGCGGCGACGACGGCGACGACGACGACGAGCGAAAGCGAGAGCGAGAGAGAACGACAGCAGGGCCACGAAGGGCACGAAGTAGGCCACGAAGGGCGACAGCGGGGATTCGAAGGGAATGCGTATGGGGCCACGAAGAGCGCGAACGAGCTGGGGCCACGAACTGCAGATAGTGCGGGGCCACAGAAGGCAACTATGGGGCCACTGAGGGTAGCAACTGGGCCACGAAGGACAATGAGGGGGACACAAATGGCGACAGCGGGGCCACGAAGGGCATGCACATGGGGCCACAACGGGCGCGACTCCTGGGTGCCTGGGTGTCGGGAGCGCGGCGCTTGGGCAAACTGCAGGAAATTCCAACGCAAGGCCATTCTTCAGTAAGTTGCAGGCAAGTTTCCAGCGAGAGCGCGACTCCAGAGCGCCGGGAGAGCGATTCCTAAATAAATTGTAAGGGGGTCCCCAGCGAGAGCGCGATTCCCAAATAAAATGCGAGGAAGTCTCGGGCGGGAGCGGGGTTCCTGGCTAAATTGTGAGGAAGTCTTAAGCGGGAGCCGTTGTTGTTGTAACCCGAGGGCCAGGGGCCCAGTTTGAGCATCAAGACTTTCCCTGTCAAAAAACAGGGTGCGAGCGTCGAGGGGCACACTTTGATTGAGAAAAACAATATGCAACGGTGGGGGGGATCAACAATAATGTTAAAAATAACAAATGAGAGTTCAACAACAACACCAACAACACCAACAACACCAACAACAACATCAACAACATCAACAACAACAACAACAACAACAACAACAACAACAACAACAACAACAACAACAACAACAACAACAACAACAACAACAATTACTAGCACGTGGGGACACTCCGTTCTCACCAGTGCCAGGGTTTTCATACGACGCCCGCCAATACCCCCACTTTGTGGGGGGGCCGGTTCAAGCTCTACCACATTTCCAAACGACTCTTCGCCACCACCCACACCCAGCTTCCCGCCCTATGACGTTCGGACACTTCACTTCGTGGCCTGCGGACGACCGTGGCTACTACACTGGCGCATGGGTACAGTGACTTGTTGTGGTAACATTTTCTGGACGCTAGCTTAGTATACGACTTTTCCCCCTGTTCCAACACTGGACACCTGTACTGGTTTTTGGTGGCAACGTGTTCCTGACGCTAGAATAGGAAACCAATGGTCCCGCATGGTATGTTTTGCAAGGTATCCCGCATGGTATGTTTTGCAAGGGATTGTGGCCCCTGGCACGCGCGCATGTGTCCCGCATGGTATGTTTTGCAAGGGATTTGGAATGTTCGACACGCGCGCATGTGTCCCGCATGGTATGTTTTGCAAGGGATTGTGGCCCCTGGCAGGCGCGCGAACGCCGTTGAAAGAGCTTGCGAAAGTAGCTCGCGCGAGCTCATGTAACATAAATGTTGAAAAAACCATTGGTTTTTTAGGATTCGGACAGCGCGCGCGGGTAGAAATTTTGAAAATTCGTACAGATGTTTTTCGAGGACCTACGGTGCGATTCGTATGATTTTATGTTGCGCGGTGCTAAAATTCCTAAGAAACCCAATGGTTTTTGAAGATTTCGGCGTGCGCGCGCGAAGAAAAAACGAATGTGTCCCGCATGGTATTATTTGACAGGGATGATGGCCCTGGCAGGTGCGCAACCGTTGTTGCAGAAGTTCGAAAAAGTTGCTCGCAAAAGCCCGTTTGACAGAAATGTTTAAAAAGTGTTGGGTTTCCTACGAAATCCGCAAGAGCGCGCGGGATGAAATTTTGACAATTTTTTTTGAAAAACCATTGGTTTTTTGATGTTGCGCTGAAGAAGGATTTCTTTGCGCGCGCGAATGTCCACGCAAAAAGTTTGGTTATGTTAGAACAAGAAATGATGGCTCGCGGCCTAGGCTGCGGCCTAGGGCGGCGGGGGGGTCGTGCACCAGGGGTCCCAACAATAATTATTCTTTAGAAGTAATAATGTTCAACAACAACAACAGAAGCAGCAGCAGCAGTAGCAACAGCAACAACAACAACGATGACGACGACGACGACAACAACAACAATCATTTTAAGACTGTTCGCCCTGATCTGCTCGAGTGTCCAGTAACGCGTATTTCCCAAACTCGGGAACGGCCAAGAGGGGGGGGTCCAAGAAGGGGGGGGGTGCAAATCATGACCGGCGGCATGTGTGCGGC